GTTAATTCACCACGAAGCACATGAATTAAAAAAAAAAGTCCGATTTTGTGCACATGAATAGTACAAAAGGTAAATAATTATGGTAAAAAGGTAAAAAATCATGATAAAAAAGTGCCTGAATGTTTAATTTGGCCTGCGTATATTATTACCCTTTCTTTAAACATATTAAACACTTCATTTGATTTATTTATTTATATATATATTGAAAAAAGTCAATGCTATTTACAAATGAGAGAAGTCGGTGTGAATTATTTTTCCGAATTTATTACAACGAGCAAATAGAATCACGCCACGTGTCAAAAGATTTTAGTTTTTTCCATTAATTTCAAGTAATATAATTTTTCACACATTGAATAAAGGAGTCCATGTTGGGAAAATCTCCTCCTCCAGCTCTTCCGCTAACGTAAGCCTCCCGTGCTAACGTGAGCCACCCGAGACAATTTAACCTACACCCACCACCACCATGCCTATGCCTGTAGGTTCAATCAAATTCACCAATTTCACTTTCCTCCACCCTCTCAAACCCTACAAATCCCTTCCAAATTCCTCCTCCCCGACGACAATTCTCCGGCCAAACCTCTCCTCCGTCTGCTGGCGCAGCACAATCCCGCGCGCAACCGCCGAGCAGCGTCCAATCACTTGGCGGATTTCCGGTGGCCAGAAATCTCGCCCCTTCTCCTCCGGTTCTGTAAACGGAGGGCTTAAAGGGAAGTTATTTTGCAATTCGAAGACTAAAATGTGCGCCACCGTCAATGGCAAGGCCGACAACCAATCGGACGTTCCGCCGTCTCGAGAAAATCACGAGAAGCCGCCGGCAGAGCAGTCGCAATTGCTCACCTTGCCTACAATGTTGACGATTGGCCGCGTCGCCGCCGTGCCTCTCCTTGTCGGCAGTATGTATTTGAATATTAAATATTAATATCTCTTACCGTTCTGGTTTTTTTTTTTTATTAATTGGATTTTTCGAGTTCTTAGCTATTATGAATTGAACACGGATAAGAAATCAATGCTGGTATACTTTAACGGGGAGTCGTGTTGTTTCGCTAACGATTAATCACAATTGGCTGATCTTGGATATCTCTTTCAATTAATTGTAGTTTGATATTAGTATTTTATGCTCAAAAGTTTCGTATTTTGGGTTGTGTAAAGTTTTCATGTATTCCTCGGTGATTCCTTGTTGTTTCTGTTATGGCAAAAAGATCATTTAATGCATAACCAACTCAACTTGTTGCACATGGTTTAAGATTGCTGCATTTTGTAAACTTGACACTTTACTTTCACCGTAATAGCCTTTTATGTCGAGAGTTGGTGGGGACCTGCTGCTACGACTGTTATTTTCATTGCGGCAGCCTTTACGGATTGGCTTGATGGATTCCTTGCTCGAAAGGTCTGTTTTTCAAGATTAATATTTCTTGGAAGTTGAAAAATTATCGGATGATGCTTCTCTCTGTTTTCTTTAACTTTTTTTGTTAACCTGATCCTGATGAATTATTTTATTGAATAGATGAATTTGGGAACTCCGTTTGGTGCATTTTTGGATCCAGTGGCTGATAAGGTAATATTGGGTACTTGGTCACACATTTGATTTAAGGCAATTTATTTCCACAAAAAGATCCAGATAAAAAAAAACATCCCGACATGTTTCCGTATGATATGTTATTTGGCAAAAAAGTGATATTCCTCAAATTTGTTAAGAGATCTTTCTATCTTGATAATTCCTAAAATTGGTACTTGTTAGGATGGTATTGGTGAATCTAAAATCTAAAATCAGGGGACAGGAACACTCTTGTATTCTTCTACGAGTAAAGATTCTTTTTACTAAAAAAGTATATTCTGTTCTCCCAGAGGGTGAACCAATGCTTGTTATGTTGTTATTTCAGATGTATCGTATATAGTCTTTTTATATGTTTTAATTTTAAATTGGTGCAGCTTATGGTTGCTGCCACCTTGATCTTGTTGTGTACCAGACCTTTTGAAGCTGGTATTTTTGGGCAAGCGCCATGGTTACTGACCGTGCCTGCTATTGCCATAATTGGTAGAGAGGTAAGAGCCTAACTTTGTGTTTTCTAATTTTGTCTTATAACTTTGTACTTGCACGTTATTTGTGCATAATCTTTCCTGTTGTCGCATTTCTCTTGTTTGGTGGCATCAGTTTAATGTTGCTATGCGTTACGTGAGGGAATTAAGGCTTAGGATTGAATGAAATTATTTTTCAACTTTATCTAACACTAGAATGAACTAAACCAAAGGAATTATATGAGTGGTAAGATTAGATGAAGAGCCTCCAGTTAACGGCGGGTTGTACAGAGGATGAAGAATCACATCCTGCAAATATTAATTTAAACTTATGTTACTATACGAGGTTAAAGAGCACTTCTATGCGAACTTCATCAAAAGCTTTAGGGAATGGTTATAGACAACATGCTTTCAGTGTTTGTTATTGACTCGTTCAAACTCTGGTAAAGTAGGTTCGTTCTTAATGACATGCTGAAAATCATACCGCATTTACTTTAATTGTATGTTCTAATCCTTATTTATAAAACATATATACATTACAAGTCTGACTAACAAACATTCATCTAAATAATGTAGATAACTATGTCTGCGGTTAGGGAATGGGCTGCTTCTCAGGACAAAAAGCTTCTAGAGGTATGCTCGCATATCAACTACACATCCCTTTATGATATGACAATCATATTTCCACGAGCCAATAGAAATTACTCTTTTACGTACTTTCTAACTCCCTACTACTATAGGCTGTCGCGGTTAATAATTTAGGCAAATGGAAAACTGCTGCACAGATGAGTGCATTAACCATCCTCTTAGCTACCAGAGATGGCAGGTTTTGCCTTCTTTTCTCTCTCTTCTCTATTTTTTTTTTAGATTTTTTTCCAACATCGATACAATGAGTTTCTTTAGGATATATATATATATATATATATCGATGTGGTTGATTGTTTTCTGAAACTTATGAATTTCATCGACCTCTCTCTCTCTCTATATATCTCTCTGTGCAGTCTTGTTGGGGCAGGAACATTTGCCGATTCAGGGGTACTATTGCTATACATTTCAGCATGGCTTGCATTATGGTCATTAGTTGTTTATGCAAGAAAGATATCAAAAGTGCTGTTAAGGTAGTAGCAACTCTATTCGTATTAATCAGCTGCAAGAGAAGCAAGAAGCACATCTGTTGCCTTATCAAGAAAAACACGTCTATCTAGAAACGGAGGGAAAACGAATACGTGACGAGATTCTTTAGCATTATATAGGTTTAGATCAATCAATCTTGTGATAAGTTATGGTCCAGTGATGCAAAAAAAATGTCGAATAAAATGATTTTTTTCTTTTTTTTAATTATTTATAATCGAGCTCAATCAACGGCCAGTAATAATTCCGCCTGTTGCATGTTTTCCCTTGTTCTAGTAATCATGTTCTCTGTGGATGGAAGTTGGTGCAGATGCTGTTAATCAATCATTTGTTTAATTGATTAAGCAGCAGCTTCTTCTTCTATATATTGTATACATATTAAAGTGGTTGGCTTATTGATCATCCTTTAAAGATTGACTCTTTATTCTTCCATTCTCTCTGTTAATTGATTTAACTATACTTTAATTAGTAATTTAGTTTATGACAAAATCAAAAGCTTAATTCATAATCTTTTACATGCCAAACTCTTTTTAATAAATTTAATTAGAGCATGAATTAGTAATTTACGGCCACCCGATATAAGATCAAATTACGAAAGGAAAAGGCTCAAAAGCTTTTGTAACCATGGTTACTCAGATATGAACAGAACAAACAACTTTTAGAACAGGAATTATTATTGCAAAACTTCAATAAAAGGTAAACATAATCCCATGCAGGAACAAAATTGTATATATTATTGTAAAACAATTCAGACATATTCTCTGTAAGAAGGAAACATAGCCCTAACCAAACAAAAAAAAAAATCGAATGTTATTCTAAAATCATCATCGTTTCCGAATTCTCTGTTAATTTTTCTCCATTTCATATGCCAGTTCACCCGAAAGTTTTACCAATAAAAAACATTCCATCGGCTCTTCCTTCCCCGACATAATCATTAACATTTATCAAATGCAGGTGCAACTCCATCGTACATTCGCTTATACGTTTTTTTCCCTTTTTCCCTTTTTCCCTATTAACGAAAAAAATTGTCCCCCCAAAAAAAAATTGTTTTTACGATAAGCTATAGAAGAATATATTATATACTACGTATTTGCATCTCCTCCTTTGATCGAAAGAATAGGCCCCTGTAAAGAACTGCCACTACTCAAATTGGAGCCTATAAAAAGAACTATAACGGTGATGTCATCATGGAAATGTCTTCTTACTCCTCGATCGATCTTTTTCAGGTCAGAGTATCTCATTTCTCTTTTCTTTGCCGCTTCGTGAAGTGCCGCTTTCACTAATTTTCTCGCAATTCCCTGCGAAAAAAATAATTGAGAAAAATATACATTGGAAATTATTATCTTCTTATTTATTCAAAATAATAGATATATAGCATAAAGAAAAGTTTCAAGAATCGTACATTACGAGCAGAATTTTGGACAATTTCGACGGCTTCTTGATTGGTAAGGTGTTCCCATAACCCATCTGAAGCAAAAATAAGAAATTGATCTTCCGGATAAAGTTTCTGAACGTGTATAGCTGGCTCAGCCAATAGGATTGGTTTGTGAAAAGGTTCGTGCACTCGAAACTTTGGTAACAAAGGGATTCTATTAAATTCTTGGTTCTTCAAATACGCATCTCCAATTGATCTCGAAATCTGAGATTGAACTGATACCGTATTAGAATTGCACCCAAATTTTTCATCTACATTTATACGACAACATCAATAAAACCCGATGTTTTTTTTTCCTCATAGAAATGGAGATAAATTTGTATTTTAAGGACTCGTTTGGTTGGGGAAATTCGCCATGATTAATTGGACTTTGCTTGATGTTCGGTAAACCCAATAATATTCCGAGTCGACCCGGAAATATTATTTTATCATGGCCTTATCTCGCCTTTAAGGGAGATTGCTTATTGGAAAAAGGCAAGATAGGCCATTATAAAATAATATTTTCGGGGTCGCCCGGAAAATTATCGAATTCACCAAACATGAAACAAAGTCCAATTATTTAATTAATCATGACAAATCTCCCCAACCAAACGAGCCCTCATTAGATTATTTAATCTTAATCTTGGATAATCTTATCTTATGAACCTAACGAGGCCTATAAAACCCAACTAGTTAAATGCAAAACGTCTCATAAAAAAAAAATTAAAAAAAAGGATAATTGAATAGACGAAAAAAAATTCACCTGAATAATACCCTTCACACGCCAAACTTTGTGCTTTAGGACAACAATCTGAGGATCCTCCGGGTGTAATGAGTGCAACTCATCTCTTACAGATTCAAGATTCGCGTTGTGTTCCTCCGACAATTGAACAGCTTTAACCTGTTTATCGAATTTGTCCACTCTTCCCAAAACGGCCCTAGAATCTCCCGCATTTGCAATGTATAATGTACCGTTGCATATAATACCAGCCAAACAACACGACCCCACAGACGCAATTTGTGGTTTGATATCCCATTGCTTTCTCACCATCGAAAGAAACTCTTCCTCGGTTTCCAAATAAGCGTTTTTAATAACATCGGCCGACATTTCTTGATCGTCTGACGTAAATTCTGCATCACGAGTTAGCTGTCAAGTGAGTAAAATATATCCATCAGCAAAAAACCTAAAAAAAAAAAGAAACAAACCGACTTTCTCCGGCGAACCTTCTATCTAATCTCAATCGAATTTTCATTTTGATCCAAACAACAAACAAAAATCCCGAATTGCTCGTTTTTCTCACAGCTATAAACGGGTTATTTAAAAAATTATCCTTCTCCCAAATTTCACCGCAGATTCTTATTTCCTCAATTATAAAATGCAGAGCATTATCAAGAAAGTCAATCACATTCCACTATAACGAAAACTATCAAATTTCAAACTAACACGAAATACATAGACGAACGAATTGAGCCAAACGGAAGATAGAGAGCGAGAATCGTACTCTTGATATTTTCAAAGAGGCGAGTGTTGATAAACCGAGCAGCTTCGGGACCAGCGTGCCCGTCGTAAACTCCAACGAATGTGCCTTGTGGGCCCGGCTCGATTGAGCTCATAGGTCCCGACTCGAGCTGGCTTTGATCTTCCAATACGACATTTGCTTGAATCACAGCCATCGAAAACTGGCCGTGAATGTGGTTACCTAAATCTTTGTACCACCACAAACCATCATCCGATTGACTGTTTAAATTGCTTCCTCGATTTGTGCTGTTTTCGCTTCGACTATCGGCCGACGGCCTCCAACACGGCGTCACGTATTTTCTCCATGTAGTGGTCACCATTGCTTCTATTAATTATAATTTTTATTTTTCGAAAAAAGAACAACCCTTATATATCAATTCCCCCAAAAGAACAACCCTTCATACAACTCAATGCAGGCAGGCACCATTAATCTGTATAATTCACACCAAAAATAAATAAATAAATAAAAAATCAATTAATTAATTAATAAATTAACCCAAAAGGCAGAATTGTCAATTGTTCATACATGCACACAACCAAATATAAACATTAAAATTGGGTACATTGTACATAACAACATAAACCGCATATAACCCACAAATTCACACACACATACACACAACCAATTAAAAAAACAAGAAGAAAGAAAATCAAAAAAAAAAAAAAAAAAAGTACCTAAAATCAAACAGCATCTTAATCGCGGGGGCAACCAGAAGAAACCCATTTGAAAATTGAATCAAAATTCAGAGGGTTTCCAGAGGGTAAAATAGGAAGATTCGTTTCTTTTCAAACAAGCAAATGGGATCAAAAGAGAGAAACCCAAGAAAAAGCAGAGAAATGGCCCCTTGATGCAAATAATAAATTATATATATATATGTATGTATATATAAACCAAAAAGAAAAAAAAAGGAAAAAAAAGAAAATTCCGGTGGGCTTCTCTTACGAAGCCGATTTGAAGGTTGGGTTTTTTGGGGATTTCAAATTGGTAAATAAAATGCATTTTATAGAAAAAGAAATTTGCAGAGAGAAGGAGCCGGGTTTGGGGGGTTTCTCGGCTTTTGACCAATAATAAACCACCCTTTTAGCCTTCTTTTTCTCTTCTCTTCCCTTTTTTTTTTTTAAATTAATTATTTTTTATTTACTTATAATATTAATTAAATAATAATAATAATAATAATAATAATAATAATAATTTAATAAAAATATATATTTTGCATTCACATTAACTTTCGATAGATATATGCACCGCGTAACTTTAATTGTTATAAAATGTAATTATATACTTCAAATAATATCTAAATTTTAATATTTAAGATGTAAATTCCACTTTCTCCATATATTTTGGTTCAGTATCATTTTACCACCCTCTATTATTTTCGATTGCATTGATTTGTCCCCCATGCACTTGAAAATTTGTATCGATGTGGCTCTTGCTGTTAGTTGTCAGACATTTGGCTTTAACACAGTTCGGCCTAAACTCTGAAATTACAAAAATGCGACCCCTCCCAGTTCAAATAATTATTAAAAAATAAAATAATAAAAAAAAAATCAAGACAACGAGAAACCACAGTCCACGGTGGCACCATATTTTTTGTTTTGTTTTTTTTTAATAATTATTTAAACTGGGATGGGTGATTTTTTAATTTCAGACTTAGATCAAACGGTGTTAATGTCAAATGTCTGAAAACTAACGGAGATGGCCATATTGAGACACTTTCAAGTATGGGAAAGCAAATCAATACAATCGAGAGTAGAAGGGAATAAAATGATATTGAGCAAAAGTACGTCGGATAGTGGAATTTACTTGATTTTTTATAGACGAATTATGTATAATATCAGAACTACACAATCATTACTAGATTGATATGAAGACAAAAATGTATTATGAATTCATTATCATTTTAATCCAAATTTATCTAATATAAGTAATCGAAACATAATTCTTCATTGGCTAACTAATTCGTTATTCGGTAAGATCTACGGTTCATTGTATTAGTAGAATTAAAGATTTTAAAGTTTAATATTAAACCTAATGTTTTTAATACTAATACTAATACTATATAAATTGCGGTGATATGATATCAACTAATTTTATTGAATGGAAAAATTTAACTGCGGACTTCAACTTTTATAGTTAAATTAGTTTGAATTTTCTTAATTCAGCGTGCTATTAACTCATAGTATTTAATTAATATAAGGTTTAATAGTGAAAACAAAGAGAGCTAAGCATATATAGTAATGAAGAATTAATTTTTATTTTTTTATCTATATATATATATAGAGAGATATATATATATATTTATAGAGAGATCATTATATATATATATATATATATATATATATATATATATATATATATATATATATATATATATATATATATATATATATATATATATTTATATTATATATTATGTGACAAGTAATTGTTCACATAGACAATGACACGGCTACTACACGTTTTGACTTAAGAAAATTGACTTAATATTTTATAAAAATTGAGGAAAATGAAAACGAAATAGGTCCAAAATAGTCACATTATTAAATATAAATAATTATATTTATATGGACTTATATACAAAAGCCCAATACTAAATTGAGCCCAAAGTATAGTAAAGCTCATTGCGAAACAAGAAAATTTTTTGATCTAATTTAAGAATCTATTTGCAAGGCCCAATAATTTAAAAT